GACAGGTGTCGCTGGGGTGGGGGGTGGGGGGACAGGAGTGTCCCCAGGGTGCAGGGCATGGATGTGGGTGAGGATCGGAGCTGTTGTGAGTGTGCACATGTGGGGATTGATGATGGGTGCTCCCCCGCCGCAGGTGCAGGTGGCTTCACAGGAGTGTGGGGGCTGCGATGCTGCCCCATGGCTATGTTGACAGCAGCACTGGGACCAAAGGTCCCTTCTTGTGTCACACCGTGTTGCCACAGGCATCACGTGGCTGTTTGCTGTTTTGAAGATGGCTCTGCCCCCACCCAGGCTTTTTACCCTCCAGAGCTGCAGCACGTGACGGAGGTGGACCGCGTTCCAGGTGGCAGGGATGGTGCTGGCACCACAGCCCCAGCTGCCCTCTGCTCCCACCCTGGGAGCACGGGGCAGTCAGGGAGGACATCCAGCACCTCGCACACCATACAGTGACCAGAGCCATGCCGGTGAGCCATGGGCACTGGAACTGCAACCACCCCATAGCATGGGGAGCCGGGGCTGCAGGAGAGCCCGTCCCACTGCCCAGCCCTGCTTCCAGCCAAGCACATCCTCAGGCTTTGGGGTGCAAGACAGAGACATCTTGCAAGTTCCCCCCTCCGAAGCCAGCACTTGCTTGGCTGTCCCTGTCGTGTTGGCTGCCACTTGGTGACCTTTGAGCACCAGGGGCTGGGGTGCTGATAACAAGTGGGAGGGCTGTGCTGTGCCGCCTGCGCAGTTTATAAAAGCACCACACAAGGCCTATCCTTGCGTCCATCCTGTCCCGCTGTCTGTGCAGCAGTGGGGTGAAGATGTTGCGCTTGGTTGGGCACTTGCTTGGCTGTCCCTGTCGTGTTGGCTGCCACTTGGTGACCTTTGAGCACCAGGGTCTGGTGTGCTGATAACAAGTGGGAGGGCTGTGCTGTGCCGCCTGCGCAGTTTATAAAAGCACCACACAAGGCCTATCCTTGCGTCCATCCTGTCCCGCTGTCTGTGCAGCAGTGGGGTGAAGATGTTGCGCTTGGTTGGCCGTGCCACGCGCTGCTGGGGGGCAAGGCAGGTGTCAATGGGGCCGGAGCGGGCACCCTGGGGACCCCAGCATGCCATGGTTGTGCAGAGAGCATGGTGAGCACCCACATGGATTGGCTGGGCTGGGGGCATATCCAGGGGCAGGTCACGGAGCTGGCAGTGCTCTTAAACCTTGTGGGGAAAGGGGATGCTCTCCCTCCTCCCAGCAGGGCTGCCGGGCACAGGGAAACAGCAGGGGTTTGGGGTGCTCATGGCCTGGGCTGCTCACTGGTGGCACCTCCCTGGGGTCACTGCCTGTGCCCAAGGCTCAGGGTTGCCATGGGACCATCACTGCTCCCTCTGCCCCGCAGTCTCTCCAGCACTGCTGGAACAGGCACCTGGCCCAAGGACGTGGGTATCCTGGCACTGGAGGTGTACTTCCCTGCCCAGTACGTAGAGCAGGAGGAGCTGGAGCGGTACGATGGTGTGGAGGCTGGCAAGTACACACGAGGCTTGGGCCAGCAGCAAATGGGCTTCTGTGCTGCCCATGAGGACATCAACTCCCTGTGCCTGACGGTGGTGCAGCGGCTGGTGGAGCGTGGGCGCCTCTCCTGGGATGCCATTGGCCGCCTGGAGGTGGGCACTGAGACTGTCATTGACAAGTCCAAAGCCGTCAAGACTGTCCTCATGCAGCTTTTCCATGACTCGGGCAACACCGACGTGGAGGGCATAGACACCACTAATGCCTGCTATGGGGGCACAGCTTCACTGTTCAACGCAGCTGCCTGGGTGGAGTCCAGTGCCTGGGATGGTATGTGCAGCAGGGACTGTTCCATGGGAATGGGGGGCTGCATGTTGGGTGAGTGCTGTGGGATGGGGGAAGGGGGCAGGAGGTGTACTGAAACCCTGAGATGCCCCAGCAAGCCTCAAAATGAGCTGCTGCCCCTCTCAGCTCTCCATCACGCCTGTTGTTTGCCCACCTTGGCCATGAGGCTTCCACCCACTGATGGCCCCACTGGCCCCCCTGTCCTCCCTCAGGTCGCTACGCTGTGGTGGTGTGTGGGGACATCGCCGTCTATGCCACAGGCAACGCGCGGCCCACGGGAGGTGCCGGTGCCATTGCCATGCTGGTGGGACCCAATGCCCCGCTGGTGCTGGAGAGAGGTTGGTGTCGTGAGGCCCTGGGGATGGCGAGCTGATGGGTGCTGTTCTTAGGGGACATACCTTCATGTCCCAACCCCAACAGAGCTGCTCAGTTCCATCAGCACTGGTTCTGCCAGCCCTGGTGGCTGTCTGGTGCTTGGTAGCCCAGGATCCCAACAGCCATGTCCCTGTGTACACCATGGAGCAGCCCAGGGAGGCTGGTGGATACCAGGGCTGGCATGGCAGGCAGCACCTATCGAGTGGGCCGCCAGTGCTCCCTGACAGCTGGCTCTCCTTGTGCCCCCAGGCTTGCGGGGAACCCACATGGAGCACGCCTATGACTTCTACAAGCCAGACCTGTCTTCTGAGTACCCGGTGGTGGATGGGCAGCTCTCCATCCAGTGCTACCTGCGGGCGCTGGACCGCTGCTATGCTGTGTACCGCCGGAAGGCAGAGAGCCAGTGGAAGCAGGGTAAGCAGCGGTATCCCTGGAGTGCCCACACCATCCCACCGGATGCTGATGGCCACAAATCGCCTTCCAGCTGGCATCCAGCGTCCCTTCACCCTCGATGACTTCAAGTTCATCATCTTCCACACACCTTTCTGCAAGCTGGTGCAGAAGTCAGTGGGGCGGCTGCTGCTGAATGACTTCTTGGCCACTCCCAATGCCAACACAGCCACTGGCCTCTACAAGGGGCTGCAGCCTTTTCGGTGGGTCCCCGTGCCATGTCTCCCATCGCCTAGCCCAGCTGGGGATGTGCCTATGTGGGGTTCAAGACAGCCTCTCTCTGGGCAGCGATGTGAAGCTGGAGGACACCTACACCAGCAAGGATGTGGAGAAGGCATTCCAGATGGCCAGCCAGGAGATCTTCAACCAGAAAACCAAGCCCTCCCTGCTCCTCTCCTCCCGCAATGGCAACATGTACACACCATCGATGTATGGCTGCCTGGCGTCCCTCCTGGCACAGTGAGTCCCCCCAAAAGCTGGCTCAGGGTTGGGGGTGGTGGTGGCATTTTGGGGAGGGCAGTTTCTGGCTTGGCTGGCTGGGGATACAGGCGCCAGCACACATTCCCTTCCCCACCAGAGACCTGACACTTTCATTGCACGTAACTGCTGATGTGGATGTGTCCCACTCTGTGCCAACTCCCTGCGAGCCCTTTCATCCAAGCTCACATAAAGCCCTTCTTTTGGCACTGTGAGGATGAAAACCTCATTGTCATGCCCGGTGGAATGGCTGACCCAGCAGCAGAGGAGCCATGGGAACAGTCAGTCAGGCACCTGTCGGGAAGAAAGCCTCATGCTGGGGCTTGCCGGCACCACTGCAGTCCAGGGCCATGCACCCTCTGCGATGCAGCCCTGAGTCCCAGGAGCTCCTGGCCTGCAAACAGGGCAGGAGGCAGCCTCCTACACAACCCCCAGCCCCAAACCCCTTCTTATCCCCCAACCCGTCACTGCAGATCCTCAGCACGGGACCTGGCTGGCTCCCGGATCGGTGCCTTCTCCTACGGCTCCCGGCTGCGGTGC